AAATTATAATATAATATTTACAAATATACAAAACAAATTAATGAAATAAGCAAAATTTATGGGTTTTTTTCAAATTGTAACATGGCACTACATATTAATGATTGAAGACTTATCGACTTCATTAGAGTAGAAGGCATATAAGATTGTGCAAAAACAAGTCAGAATTCCGAAATTGGCATCTCCAAATTTTTTTGCATTATCAAATTTTTTGCATAATTTTGTCGCATTTCAACTAATATTAATAAAAATTAAAGTGATATTAAAAATTAAGTAAATTAAAGTAAAGATTTAAAATAAAAGTATTTTTCATAAAAATTTATTTAAATAAATTTATAAATTTATTCACTGCGTGATTTTGCTTCGAATGCGTCTGAAAATGCATATTACATATTAAATAATTTCATGGTTATCACTTATCAGCAAGAATTTTAAATTTGAAAGATTTGAATAAAGGAAATTTTGAGCGGCTTACTTGCCAAATCATAACTTATTTCTTTTCTTAAAATTTTTTTTATTATTTTTTGTGCTCTTTTAATCATTGTTTGTGTTCTCACTACTTGATAGTATTTTTATTATTATTATTTTTTAGTTTTTTTAAAATTTCGTTATTTTATATATATATATATATATATACATTAATGTGATCTAATGAGAATGCCACCACCAATTTATTTTCCTGTCTGCATTTCACGTAAAATCTTATTCTGGAGTGGAGAGTCAGCGGTATATTATTAGTCCCAGTTTGTTGGGATTATTTTAAGATTTAAGATAAGATTTTGCAAATATAAGGTTTATTCGGTTTCCAAAAAATGATGGCAATTCATCACTAACAAATTGTTGATAGATGCCAATCGAGAGACTTGAAATTGAAAATTTTTGTGAACGAGCCAGTTGGTGATAGAAAAGGTACAATTCGTTAATAACAAAACAATTAAAATTTCGCTTCGTGAGCAAATAGTGAAATAATATCATTAAAAATTTGATCTTTTGTATGGAAAAGTGGAAAATATTTGGGAAGGCATAATACGAAACAAAAGTTAGGAACCACTCGCCACTCTTTTTTGCTAAAAAGAAGCCGTTAAAACTTCGATTAATTAAAATTTATTTATTTATAGTGCAGTAAAAACTATATCTTAAATAAATCTGAAGTTGAAGGCATTTGAATCGAATGAAAACCAATTGAGTGATCGTAGAAATAATTGTCGACGCAAAGATTGCCACAAAGTTTGCCAATACGATTGCAGCTTTTTATTACTTTAAGAATTTTTGAAAAATCGAAAAATTGAGTAATGGCCTCAGTTTAAATGAAAACTGGTAGTGTTTAAGCAATTATAAAATGGTATAACGCAGAGGATAGTATGAGAGATATCATTTATATATTTGAGATGATTTGTGGCGAAAATAGAAATATTATAGGTGGAAATAATTTCGTGATTGTGGCATGAGATCAGGGAGTTTTAAAATTTAAAATCTTCGAAGCACTGGTGTCAGACAAACTAAAAATGGTGCTTTTATAAGAAGCAAACGATTTGAAAAAAGCGATTCTTTGCGATTCTTGAAACTTCTTAAATTTAATTTAATTGCACGAATCGCTTTTTTATAAAGTCAATAAATAACAATTTAAATACTTTTGCTCAAACTAAAATTAAAAAAAACTTTTTTACAAGTCTTAATTACAAAATTTAGGCAAAAAGATAAAATTTGGCCGCCAGCCCAGTCAGCCAGCCTAAAAAAAACTTTATCATAGTTATGCATTAATATTTTTTACAAATAATCGAAAAAATCAAATGGAGATTAACTTGAAAACTAATAATATCTATGCGATCTTCGAGAACAGTTAAAAGGCCATATTAATCGGTTCGTTAATGGATGTAAAGGTGATACATCTTTTTCTATATATGGTATCACAAATGACCAAAACGATTGATTTAAAGCGTTTTCATCAAATTCACCTTTTTGATAAGAATTCTAAAAAAATGAGTATTATCAATCCAATTGGATTTTTAAGCTTTTTAATTAAATAATGATTAGGAGAAAGCAATGATTAGGAGATTAGCAATGATTATATTTGACGAATCTCCTAATGTCTGATAGAGCCAGCCAAAGCCAATCTGGTTTAACTTCATCAATTTGGTTACTTCATATATACCTGAGGTAGAGGGATCAGCTGATGGTAGGAGGTATAAATTGGATTTCTACCTTCTGATAGGAATAAATTTAAAACTCATGGTTGCTGGGAATTCACCTGTATTCAACTGACTTCTGCCAAAGTGTCACACCTGAGAAGGTGGTTTAGTCAGCCAATATCTCACTGACTTATTTGCTAGTGCAATAGGAATTAAATTTTGTAAGTATTTTTGGTCCAAGCGATCTAATTTCAGTCTAAAATAAAACTAAAACCTGTAACGAATGATATGTCCAAAAAACTCGTGTAGCTGTGAGATATCCAAGTAAAACATCAAACGTGTAATGTTTCCTGGCTAATAATATGCAAGCACTAGCAATAATAGCGCAAACTGTATAAATATAAGTTAGGAATGCGATTCGACGCGGTGCATATTGCTTAAATGTGCAGAGAGCGATGAATATGGAAATTGTATGACCAGAAACAATTAAATCGCCACATAATTCCCTAAAAAATTCGATATAGTTAAAACGATGAAGCCAAATGCAAAGGCTTGAAAAAACCTGAAAAGACCGAAGGCATTCTAGGCGGTTTAGGCTGTAGGAATTCAATTACAACTGTTTCACCAAGTGCGAAGAGAGAACATTCGATTTTTGCTTAGAGTTATCATCATACGAGTTCAAATTCTTCTCATTCTTCTTATTTCTATATTTACAATATGTTATACAATATATTAATGAGTCGGACCCTTAAAAATAGCTTAGCCTTACCGTGATCTTAGTTGTTCAATGCCGAGGGACCAGAAGATTTTTTGTATTCTTTGCAAAATAATCCCTAGGTCAGATCCCAATTTTGGAGCGCAGTAAGTATGAACACTTGGAACAGGGACCTGAAATTAACAGTTCTTTTGTGAAATATTCATTTTCTTTTAGTGTAATGCGAACAAATTATATAAATATATATTTATATGTATTTACCTGTAAAATAGTTATACATAATGCTCGGAATGTATAACATAAAGCGGCGCAAAAAAATACCCTCGTGGTAACAATCAACTTGTACTGATGTAGAAATATAATGATGAATGTGTTGATAAGTAGAAATATCATAATACATTCAGTAATAAGAATTGCACCATTTATCTTAAAAATTATTTTTGCAGTGCATATTTACGTGATTTTCAGAGATACTAATACTAAGGGTAATGGGTAGGATAACAGAAAATATAGTAGCTTAAATGTAGGTTTAGATTCTCATAGGAGGTAAGGATAAACGCTTATGCAGATAGATACAAAAAGAAAAAGAAAAATCGTAGCATGGTAGGATTTTTGCGTGCGCCTGCATAGTGAGTGAATAGCCGCATCTTTCCTTTTTTTCTGGCTCCCAATTACCATATCCATGTTATTTCAGCCTTAAGAAGCCTAGCACCGTGTCAAATAATATGGGAGTTTTGAAAATATTGGTCTTAATGAAACTTCTTATCCTTTATCTTATCATTATCACCCCTATATTATGAGCGGATGGAAATATTGTTACCTCAGGAAGGAAACTGAACCATAGATCGGGCAGTGGTGGTACGTTTGTGGGCACACGTTCGTGAATCCACGCCAATGCCAAATCATTTATAAAACATGCTGATATCTGCAATACCACATTTTCTTGCATTTTACAATTTTTCTAAATTTTTCTTATATTCGAGTTTCGCGTATTGCGCAAATTTTTGTTTAAAGTATAAATTACAACAATAGAATAGCGATATTTCGTCTTGGTTGAAGGAAATGTTTGATTAGTTATCGGTCAAAGTTTATTTCTGTGAGGCAAACTTGTTCTTGAAAATTTGATAGTATTTTTTCCAAATATTCCAAAACTAAATACCAGGCAAACCAAATAATTCATCCTTTCTAAAGGGATAATTATTACCCCCAATTCGTCAATTTTTTGCCCTTATTTATTAATTTGGGTTGGGTTTACTGCCCATTTAATTTTCACGAAATCATAAATGAATTAGCTAATGAAATTATAAAAAACGTTATAAAAAAATGAATAATTTAAAAAAAAATTTGCAGAAGTAAATGAATTGTTCGTTTTTCATTCTGTCTTAATGAAACTTCTTATCCTTTATCTTATCATTATCACCCCTATGAGCGGATTATGAGCGGATAAAAATATAAATGAATGACCAACATCCATTCGTATTTCAATTTTCGATTTTATTGAGTGCCAACTCAACGGACAGAAATTCTCGCTACTCGCGCTACTGACGCGTAATCTCTAATTCAAATGCTAAAAAAGTGCTTAAAACTTCTCATTTATGAATGGAATCTCAAAAAAAATTTTATAAATTGAAGCGATTTTTAACTATTTATTTACTGTTGAATCAAATTTAATTGCGAATGAAACCGAAAATTAACTTTTCAACGAATTTTTGAGAATAAATTTATTTATTGAAATCAAACTCACCAAAAAAATTGTACAAAATATAAAAGGTTTTTTCTTTGGCTGATATTCTTTTGGTGTAATTTGCACATTTGATTCATTCGGCACTATCTTCATTAATAAATTGATAAATTTGATTATCTTTGATATCGATCGAGATTTTTGTTAAAAACTAAAAACATATTCGTCATACGAATTTCATTTAAATGATTAATAATCTTTTAAAATTAATAATTGCAAAGGTGATAGTAAATGGTTTTTTTCTTTATAAATCTTTAATATTAATATAATTGCTAAATTATATAACAAAGGAAAAATTTCATTTTAATTTCATTTTAAATTAACAATGGGAAACGAAAAGTGAATTTATATGAAATTTATTAAAAATTTTAAATTCATCTCCAATAAACTTTTCAACTATTAGCACTCCGCGAAATAAACCAATTTTGATTCCAATCAAAATTCTTATTTGACAAAAAAGGCGAAGAATTAATAAAAATTCAATTTGATGAATGAGATTTATCAAATAAAAAATATTAAAAAAATTTTAATCAAATCAGAGAAAAATTTAAAAAACGTTTATTATAAAATTGCTGCTTTCTGTATGATTCAAAGTTTTATAAAAAGGTGCAAAAATATTTAATATCGTATAAACAAGTACAATGGTTTTTTCGCTCCATTGCTTTCTGTTCATTTTCACCATAAAAAGATAAAATAATAAATAACAAAGCGATTATGAAATGCATGCGACACGCAATCTAAGCGACAACTATTTTTGCTCAAATTTACTACTCATAAACTAGTTCGGCAAATGGATAAGTAATATTTCCTTAAAATTATCCATTCTTAAGTAAATAAAATAACTTTTTAACGATTTCCTTTTAAATATCTTTCATTATTAAATATTTTTATTACTAAAAATAAAATTAAAGAAAATGCGGCAATAACTTTTATTGAATTGAATTAGTTTTCATATCATAGTTTTCGATTTTTGGCTTTTCATTAATTAGAATTATATAAATTCTCATGAAAATAATATTAGATTTTCCAATTATTCACCCGAAAAGTAAAGATTTATGAAAGTTGTATTTTATATGCATAAAATGATCAATTCTTTCAATAATTTTCTTAAATTCTCTGGAATCGTGCTATGAAACTGTATTCAAATCGAGCTTATTGTTTATCAGTTGTTTTTATCAAATTAACAATATTAAAAATTAAACGGAGTAAGAAAGTAAAAAATAAGAAGAAAAAAATGTTCAATCTATGCATAGCTAATAATGAATTTGCATGCGGTTTCACTCCTAACATGCATACGGTGCATGACAAATAATAAATAAATAACTCTGCGCAATTTCATCGTTGAAAGTTGCAGGAGAAATTATTGATCATATTCAAATGTTCAAATGTTGGCTGGGCAGTTAATAACATATATGTGAGCCCCGATAAAATCGTCAAAACTTGTTCTCCTCCAATGTAATTTGGCACGATAGCAAAACCGATTAATATTGTAGTTTAGTTTTCATGTTTTAATACAGCTATTTCCCTATTTGGTTTGTTAATTAATTTAATGAGATAAGAGAAAATTTTATGAAAGACACTATAAATTTGACCGATGATAACTGATAAAAATAACTGATAAGCCAAAAACGAACGGCTGGGCATTAGCAAAACATTTTAAAAAAGACAGAAATTTTTAGTGCGAATAAAAATTTTCATATATTGCAGTAAACACATCTGAGTTAATGTTAAATTCGTCGAACATAAAATTTTTAGTAATTATGCAAAATTTTAATTAAATTTTAATTAAATTTTAACCTTTTATTATATCATTTTAATTTTTAAATGGGATTAAATGGGAAATTAAGAATAGTTTCGGAATAATTATGAAAAGTTGAGAAAATGTGAGTAAACCTATAATCAGAAATGAAACGCGGGTGGCTGCTGGCGAACCTACAATCCTTTCTTCGATTCCCTTTATTGTTCCACTAATTACCACGAAAGTATAAGTAAATAGCGAAAAAAAAACATAAAGCTATAAGGAAATTTTCAAAAGAACTTCAGAAAATTTTATCCCGAAAAAACAATTTCATTTTTTTATATTCATAAAGTGAGAAACTAACAAATTTTAAAGAGGATTTTCTTAAAGTAATTTTTTGTTTTCCAAATCGAATAAATTTTGCGGAACTACAGATGAACATGGTAACTGATTAAAGAGCACGGATTATACGCTGCGATTTCTGGATTAACGATGGACTCCTTGAAATCATCTGCTGAGCTTATTAATATTTTCTATGAACCAGTAGGATCAATAATTATTTTGTTATTCCCGTGTCGGATGTGAAAAACTATAATGAAACTTCGTATTTGTTATATTATATTATATTTCATCCACAATTTTCTCCTAACATTTCTCTTTTTTTCCCTAAAAATTTCTGTACACTTTTTTTTTTAAATGGCAAATGCGTAATTTGATCAACGAAGCTCTATTAATCGATTTCTAAAGAAATCTTAATGAGTGGTTTAATGGAGTGAAAAATTCTATTAAACTTCTTAAGCCAAAAAGGTCACAACTGATACTTACAAACCCTTCGTATGATTACAACTGTACCGGCTTCATCTTATGGTCTGAACCATTTATTTGGCTGAGCCCATCATGATGACACTTTTGACCAAAGATTCAGAGATAAACGAATTCTCATCCCTAATTTCATTTGGCTAATCTTGTCAAGAATTAGACATCATATATTCCAACTATAAGGCCGAGGGCAATCAGGAATAACTGAGTCATTCACTGCATAAGTAATGTGATTAATTTACAATTTGTCGAACAAAAATAGGGATAGGGAAAGACACATAGGGTAAATTGTGAGATTAACTAACTGATTTGCATTTGAACAATTATACAAATGTAACAACGGTAATAAATAATTTTGTTGGGAAATCCAACGAAAATAATATTTATTTGTTTTTATGGCATCAATAATTTTCATTGTAAAAAGCGTTATCAGTTGCTATGCAACGATGAAGATGTTTCGTTAAAAATTCTCTAAAATTTTTTGTGAACAATTTTTTGCCCATTAACTGCTTCAGATTTTCGTTAAAAATCCTTTAAAAATGACATTAAAAAACTAAATATAATGAAAACAAATTTTCTTTTTATTTAAATCGAATTAAATTAAAATGAATTGAAAAAAAAAAACTATCAGTATAGCTAATATTGGTAATATTCTGAGCAGAGATCAGTTCACCTAAACTTAAACCTCCGTCTCTGCTACCCTTGGATTCTATAGTAGTCAATGGAGGCAGCCAAATCGGAAATAATACGTACTGCTGGAAATGCGCTGGTTTTTTGGATTTAGAACAAATGGAATAAATTTTCATGTTATTTAGAGAATTTTTGAGGATTTTTGCAGCAAAATTTCTTGATATCTCTTGTATTTTGTTAAAAGATATTTGAAAAAAAGTACTTCTTCTTCTAATAGCTCTCACCATTACTGGTTAGGCTGGCTCCAACGGCTACAAGGATGCTTCCAAGCGAGGGTCTGAGGGTCATCGTCGACAGCAATAGAAGCCATTCCTTTTTCCATCGTCTAAGTCCATATATTGCTGGTCGACCTATACATTCAAAATTTTTTCTGACCCTATCAGTCCAAGTTACATCCAGGTTTTGATTGGCCCACCTCGGTTGTATAATCGTCTTTTTTCTGGCCATTCGATAATATATTTTCGATAATAATAGAGTGGATCTAGGGTATTTGAAAAAAAGTACAATGAATCGTACTAATTGTACTAATTAAGTACCACATTAAACAATACATAGCAATAGATTTTTCTTAGACAGTGCCAAACGAAAAAATATTTTCGTAAGATTTAATCTAATCTTCAGATGCTATTTGAAAGCATAAATCTTATCAAAATTTTTGCCTAAACCTTGTTCACAAACCGTATATTCATAAAAATTGAAATATATATTAGAAGTAACCATATTTATTCCTTCTCAGTCCTCTATCTCAATAAATACTCGATGAATTCCATCGAACCTTGCTGATTGATGGTTTCGGTTCTCTCTTCGCTTTTAATTATGGCGTAAAAAATAAAATTAATGAAAATATAAATAATTTTATTCAATTCAAATATTTGTATGAAAATTTCATACAATTTTTCCAAATATTCTTAAGCATTTAATGACCGAAAGTTAGTTATTTAATTCACTAGCAATATTAATA